TCGTCCAGAATCCATCTGTCTTTGGTCGCAACGTTTTTGGCGCTCGAATTATTTCATTCCTAGAATTCAGCAAAATTGCTTCGGATTCTAATATTTCTGATTCAAAATTTGCTTGAGTAGTTATCGACTCAGCAATAGTCGCAATAAGGGTAACAATAATAGCTTTGTTTACGTTTGAAAGTGGCATCTTGATCAATCGTTTAACGAACAGTAATTGCGCATTTATTTATATATATTATTATTTATACTACAGACCATTATATAACATGCATAATTTGTCAACTGAAAAGGAGATTTTCTGCTTACTCTATTTGGCAAGAGCTACCTCCCCATCAACTTACCCACTTGCCAAATCCAATAGGGGTGGTAAGCTAATGAGAGCACCCATAATTACATCGCAAAGTGGTCTAAAAACAGTGCATTGCCAATTGTGTTAAGTAATTGTATTGGACAATTAAATTGAATACTAATACGCCTTACAAATTGTTGTGTTCAATTACTAACATACGAGAAATCTTTAGAGATAACCAACAGACACAAATCACGCAAAAGGCCAAGATCTGTTACGCCAGAGTCAGTTCAGAACATCAACGAGACGACTTTGAATGACAAATCGCAAATCTTCGACAATACTACCCAGAATACGAAATCATCAGTGATATCGGATCGGAAACGCAGGGGGTTTTGGAACGAATACACACAGGAGGAATCGAAGAAGTGGTGGTTACCCGAAAGGTTTAATTTTTTTATTTACTCTGATTTTTATTGCCTTTATTTTTTACTAACTTTTTTTATTAGGACCGATTGTGTCGATTTGGATCCGAGCTTGTGGAATGGATCTTTGAGAAAAATGGGACTCGGCTCGTGGTACTCGTACGGATTTCAGTGCCGAAAGTAGTGGAGCCAGAGAACTTGCGGAAGACTTACTCTCAATCGTCACAGTATTTGTGGCAAGACATAACGGAATGCCCAAGAAGAACAAGAGCTCCAAGATTCCAGCAGGCAAGACACAACGTATCTGTCTCTTTCCTACGCAAGAGGAGAAGTTGAAACTCAAACGCTGGATGGGAACAGCGCGATGGACTTACAATCGGTGTCTCGTAGCAGTCGAAAAAGAGGGTATCGAGCGGACAAAAAAAGCTCTACGAGCACAGTGTCTCAATGCCGTAAACTTCAATAATACTGAACTTCAATGGGTCCTTGAAACTCCTTACGATATTCGCGATGAAGCGATGAATGATTTACTTAAATCATATTCATCAAATTTGCTGCAAAACGGACGAAATTTAAGCTCTAAGAAAGATCAACAATCTATTGCAATTTTATCAAAACATTGGGGTAAATCTAAAGGAGTTTATATGTTTCTTTGTAAGATGAAGTCAGCACGACTTGTGATGAATCGGCTTGGAGAATTTTATCTTTGTATTCCTCAACCGCTCAAGATATGGGCCGAAAATCAAGGTCTTACACAATGATGCAGTGATTGCTCTAGATCCGGACATTTATAACTGGATACGATCCGGGTGGACAAGCTGTAGAATGGGGCAAAAATGATATTAGTAGAATTTATCGGCTTTCTCAGATATATGACAAGATTCAAAGCAAACATGACTCTATTCCTGGAAAAGTACACAAGCGAAAACGCTATAAACTTCGTAGGGTCATGCTTCGTATACATAAAAAAATCCGTTGTCTTATTAATGATTGTCACCACAAACTTGCCAAATGGCTGTGTCAAAGTTATCGTATTATCTTGATGTCCGAGTTTAAGACACAGGGAATGGTTAGGCGTGGAAAACGGCGAATTCGTTCTAAGACTGCGCGGATGATGTTAACATGGTCCCACTTCCGATTCCTCGCCAATATCTTCTACATAAGTTCGTGAATATCCATGGTGTCGTAATTATATGCACTGAAGAATATACCAGTAAGACATGTGGGTGCTGTGGTCATATCCATCGAAATTGGGTGGATCCAAAGTGTTTCGTTGCCCAAGTTGTACAGCTGAGCTTGATCGGGATATCAACGGTGCTCGCAATATACTAGCCGGTTGCTGGGGATCTTCATGAACATGTATATTTCCTTATTGGGCATGATCAGAAATGTGATGTTTTATTAGGAATGTATAGGTTTAATTGTAGGCGTGCTGACTTGACTGAATGTGTACCTAGTACATGTACGTGACAGCGGGAATAAACTTTGTGATTGGGCGAGTGTAATTTTTGACTATTACCTTTTTTGGGGAAAGGCTAAAGCGGAGCAGAACGTGATCCTGTATTTGCAGTTTTATTGGCTGCCATACAAATTTGACCAATGGAATTGCGAGGGATCTGCTCCGCTTTAGACATGCCCCTTTTTTGTGCCCCTACCCGTTACCGTTACCGTTACCCGATGCAGAAACTCCTATCGCTATTAGATCGGTCATAACACGTGATAATAAGGCGTTAATTGTTACACAAGTCGACACGACAACAAAAAGGTGAATGTGTCACGTCAAAATAAAACAAGCGGACAACATAAAATAATAATGATTCCTTGGGACTAAATTCATTAAACAAAAATAACTCTTCGTAATAATCGAGATCCGACTCTATGCAGTTTCCAATAAAGAAAATTACAAAAACAGATAATCCTATCTCTCAACAAAAAGTAAAAGTAGTCTGCCGTGTTCGACCATTCTTACCTCATGAATTTCCTGACGACACGGTAGGCGTTGATGGCAATTCTATTAAAATAACCAACCAGAGAAACCCGTCAGAAATATTGAAGTATAGGTACGAATAATATAAATATCAATTGTCTAACTTTTTACACCTTTAGCTCAGCGCGTTTCTCTTCCGGAATTGTAACGTACAAGTTTCAATGCTTGTTACGGACCAACTACTACACAAACAGAGCTTTTCAATAATGATGTCTATCCGTTGTTAGACCATGTGCTTAAAGGACTAGTAAGTGACTAGACGACATTCTTGCATATTCGTTTCACGTCTACGTTTTACTGACGAACGGCTTGCAATAGAATGCTACAATATTTGCTTATGGTGTAACTGGATCAGGTAATATTCGTCAGTTTTCGGCTGTTCTATCTGCTTAATTTGGTTACGCTTAATGATATTGGTTTATTACAGGTAAGACTCACACCATGCAAGGAAACCAAGAGCATCCTGGTATAATACCGAGGACACTGAGGAGGCTGTTTGAAATCAAGAACACGTCAATCAATCGTATTGACATTAAAGTTTCATACATGGAAATCTACAAGGAGAATGTATACGATTTATTAGTTCCGAGGGACTCGGTGAGTTCCATGTTGAAATTATATTTACGATAGATTTTTAATGTGTCGAAATGTCCCATCTCTAATGATAGAGTTTTCATGATCGAATTTGCAGATCACTGGCCTGGCAATTCGAGAAGATATGAACAGAAATATTTTTGTGGCCAATTTGACCGAGGTACTTATATAATGAACTCGAATTATGTTTTTCTCTATATTCACGCGCACTTTTTTGTGCTAATGGGCCGTGTAATCATGCATAATTTATCCTGATACCTCATTGCAGAAAGAATTAAATTCATATGCGGAATTTGAGAAAGTTTACGCCGCCGCCTGCAAACACAGGTCTACTGCAGCAACCAAGTTAAATGTTCACTCAAGTCGATCCCATGCAATTCTTTGTATATATGTGACATGCCGAGATGATGCTAGTGGCACAACATTATTTGGGAAAATCAATCTTATCGATTTGGCTGGATCGGAAGACAACCGGAGAACAGAAAATGGTAAAGAACGATTAGTAGAAAGCGCCGCTATCAACAAGAGTCTTTTTGCACTTGGTCAAGTCGTTGAGGCATTAAGCCAAGGATCGGTAAGTATAGATGAAGCGTACTTTTAGTTAGGCCACTAACACTAATAAGTAAATCATTCTATAGTCACGGATTCCTTACCGTGATTCGAAAATGACACGAATACTTCAGGTAAGCTTTCGATCCGCTATTCAGTAGAGGCATTCCACACTAACGCGAATAACATTTCCGCATCGAAGGATTCTCTTGGCGGCCGGAGCCTTAGCATGATTATCATAAATATTTCGCCCGGTCAGGTAAGACATTTGGTGTTAAATTTATCGAGCTCTGAAGACAAGTCTAACTTGATATTCATGTATATATTCGAAAGGCATTTTACACGGATACTTACAAGTAGGCAATGTGATGGTCTTATCAAATGCGTTACGTGTTTTTACTTAATTTGACGCTATTATTTGTCCTGCATTGAGTACTCTGAATTTTGCAACAAGAACAAGAGAAATTGAAAATAGACCAGAAGTGAACCAAATAACTGGTGAGTAAACCGCGTGATCAGTATTATCCGTACGAATATGCGTTTTATAATTGAGATATATTAGATGTTAGGCATGTTGCCGAGCAATTGGTTGTGGCGAAATCCCAGAAGACAACGCGTGTTTTTCCTTCTGAACGCTCCAATGCTCAGTCAGACAGAAAGAAACAAAGATTCAGCGACCCATTGTCAGATAAGACCTTGAGCTTGGGCAATAAAAGGAACACCTCTACAAAAAATGAACGTCTCAGCGATAGTATTTTTGTGTCAACGAAGAATGTGGAATTTCATGATTTTTCTTCCAAAAGTTCACATGGTTGTTTAGCAGAGACCTTTAGCGCTAGAAATGCGGCAAACCCAAGGGCTTTGTTGTCAGAGAAACAACTAGAAGAAATTGAAAAAAAACTTACAATGAAGATGGAAGCTAATCTTGATGAGAAGCTTGAGAAGAAAATCAAAGAAATCTCAGGGAAACAGGAATTTTTAAGGTTTGTCAATAAATTTGGATTTTACAAGTGGGTAAGAAAAGCCTACTAATAGAGACCATTAAATTGATTTTAGCCCAGTATCTCAACAAAAAGCCATCTTTGAGGAAACTCTGCAAGAACGATTGGAACAACGAATGTATGTTTATTCATTGGCAAATGAGTGTCATGTCTCTTGTAAGACTTGCTAACAATGACGTAATTCACAACGACGAATAATATAGGGAAACAAGTATTGAACCCCAGCTTGTTCAATTGCTTACCCCAGAGACCAAGATAAAAAACGGTAGAGCTTTGATTGCGCTTGCGCGGATGCACGAGAAACAGGACGAGCTTGTTCCCGCACTAGAAATATACGAAAAAGGTTGCTGGCCATGTTGATATTTTACCCGCCATTGCAGTGTAATAACTAACTATTATTCTGTTGGTTAGCACGTGTCTATTTACCAGAGTATGCTAGACTGGCTACTAAAATCAGTGTTTTACAAGAAGAAATTAAGACTGGCAAAGTGACAAGATACAAAGCAAGCGGACAAAAACGTATAGGCGAGAGGTTGCGAAAGGAACGAAGTCAGGGTGATAAGGAGAACAAACCTTACAGTCGAGATTCTCTAACGAAAGATCAGCCAGTGATGTCAAACGAAAATTGGCAGTTGGTGAAAAAATCTATATTAGAAGTCATCAACACAGCCGATGCAAAGCAAATAAAGTCATTGAAAGGTATCGGAAACGCACGAGCGCGAACAATAGTCGAATATATCAATTCACATGGACCGATTCTCGAAGTATTTATCTGGTGATTATTTGTATATCAGAAATGTGCAGAAAATTAATGTATCGTCTTTGATCTGTAGATATCCTCTCTTGAGTATGCTGGTGTTAGTGGGAAGGTGCTTTCAAAATTGGTAAAGGTAAGAGAGCTTCTATCATTGTTATTTTCGTAATACTTTTGACAAATATATTGTGTTTTTTTTTTAAGGATAATATAATGTTGGTCAAGCCAGGCTAAATAGCCGATTGGATATCCCCCTTCCGTGAATGCAGATAGTTTGTGATCAGCCCTTTAGGTTGCCATGCGTCATGCTATGCTTGGAGCCAGTCAAATGACCGTTGGCCCATTCCATAATAGAAAATCCATCTAGACTGTCCAATAAACATTATGCATTATGCTCGTTTAATTATTATCGGTGATTGAGATACAAATAATGATTTTTTGAACTTTCCCGCCAAAATTATTAAGACATCGAATATATTAATATGGTGTTCCTAATCTGATCGCGAAAACCGATTGTTACGTTAAAGATAATGTATGCCATTGGCGATAATGTTGGTGACCCCTTACGTATGAGATCATTGACATCGCAGGCGTTTGCAGCATCATCAGGATCGGATTAATAACCATACATGTCGGATGAAGCGATGTTTCTTTGTCTCCGAGGAAAATTCAACGTGTGCGTATATGCAGTGTTCATCAAACCCCACAGATATTTTATGTGCCATATTATATGCCCGGCTGATGCACTTGCCCGTTAACTAAGGAATCTTTGTTATATTTGAAACATGAGGAAAGTAGTTCGCTTAATGTATGCACCTGCCCGAATATGTTGCCTCACTATCACGTATTCGCTTACCAAAATTTAGACTTCCTGCTAAATTTGGGCATGTGTTACTAAACATTCTGCTTCTGTTTATCAGTTGGGATACTTCTTACTAAACCCCTTAAAGAATAATTTCTATTACCAGCACTTTATATTTCATTCTACGTTTACCCATACGCTTTATTTTTTCCTGTAGGAATCACGCGGACTCTTTATATAAACCGAGTTTACCGGTCAATTTAGTGTACATTCCAACTTCGCACTGTACTATTCAGACCAATCTCTATTCTTTTACTACCTCAGTGTTGATGAAGTGCGTTCGTTTTGCTCTATTCCGCTGGGGAGCATACTTCTAATTTATCACTATAATGACCACGGCCTCCGCGCCAGCGACACCAACTGAATGCGGAAATACCTTCATACGACACACTAAGAATACAATAGCTTCCCTTTCGTCAAGACATAAAGAGGTATGACAATTCGAACGGTTTACTGTTTATAGAATGAAAAATTCGTGCGTCGAAGGGATCGTCTACTGACAGTCAACTTTTGGTAATTTGCACTTTGCAATCGTGGCTTCAATACGCTAACAGTTGCACTATCGACTACGTTTTTTTACAGATTCTTGACCAAATAACCCAGCTGCAGCAATCTCAATCACAAGCACTCACTGATATAAATAACCGGATAGAAAACATCGCACCGCGTGATATAAGCGATTCGGAAAAGGATATTGATACTCTAGTAAACAATCTCAAATCACGACGAAGACGAAGTAGTGCACAGCAGCAATCCGTTTCTTCTATCCCACAACTTGAATTTTCTTTGAAGGTTGACGAAGTTTTTGGGGGGGGGGGGAAGATGACTATATGGAGAACTTACAAACTCTTCCAGAGGAGGACAATCGAGGTTCTATGCAAAAAACAGCCAAACAAGTTACTCATCGTCTAAATAAGGAGCAAAATGCTGATTTATTGAGTACGGGGGAATTGGATTTGAAGTATCTTTCTGCAGAGAATAATAATACAACAGACTCGGATTCCTGTGATGATACTATAAGCAATAATCTAGATAACAGTAATGCTAAGGATACGAATGAGACTATTAATCGGAGAGCTAATAAATTACAGCCCGGTTTAACCATAAATACAAAATCTTTAAACTCTAAACGTCGTCCTCTTACACCCGAGTCATCGGATTCAGAATTTGATATGGCGAGTGCTCATTTACAGATTACTCCATCTTTGATGGGTAAGGGTTCATTGCGACGACGTTACGGAACTGACAATAACCAATTAGATTTCAGCAACCGCAGTCGTCCAGCGAGCATGCTTTACACTTCCATGGAAGAAATTGAAGAAGAAGCAAGTCCATTCTCTGATAATGGTGCTGGTGAGGGAAGCAAAGCCATACTACCCGCCAGTAAGTTGACTACTGCTTCTGTGAATGGACGAAGACTATCTTCGCTGCAAAAGTTTTCGAAAGATAGCGGTGACATTACTTCAAGAATAAATAGAACGACTGGACGACGTCCCGATGATCGTCATGCATCAACAGAGATTGCTGACGACAATAGTAGTGTTGTTTCGGGAGAATCCTTACTGGAAGAATTAGGAAACTTAAAATCACGCATTCAAAGACTTGAATCTGAACATATTGGTAAGTATCAGCCATATGCCAACAACTTACGAAATCGCCAGACTGAAAAAAAAAAAGATTAAAGCAAAGGAATCAGAACAAGTGAGATGTTTCTGACCCGTGAACTTTTTTCTTCCGACAGACTCCCCTATCGATCGTCGACGTCGACGTTTCGCATACGACATGATGTCGCCGAGCGTGACATCTCCTAATGACTCACAAGGTACGAGTTCAACAGCCACTAGTTCGTCAAGTCGCTCTACTGTATCCGCTCAACATCAGAAGCATTTGCAAAATGCTTTCGAATTCTTTGAAAAGGCCTTTCCGACAATGATATCACAATCGACTGAAGATGCATCTCCGGCACCCTCACGATCTATGGCGATGGTTGTGTCAACTGCGCTACTATTGAATCAGAGGTTTCGTAGTATATTGGCACAACCAGATATGGATCCTCAAAATTTTGAAAGGACCATGAAGGACTTGCTGAAGACTAGTGATGAACAGGTACGCAGTTTGACGGAGTGTTTGCTCGCATTGGGGCCATTAGCACAGAGAGCTTATGCAGTAAGGAAGATTACTACAGAGAGAAATTATCAACAAAATGTGCAAAATGGGCGTTCCTCAACGAGTTCCTCGATCTTGGGAGTCCCTACAGCGACTCATACGAACAGATCTGTATCTCCGTCGCTGGCATCTTCGATTTCGCGTCTTCCGATAGCTAACGGCTCGACTCAGGAAATTCAAACATCATATCATGAAATGCAACAAGGAACCGAACAGGGTGATCAAGCTGACCGACGAACTTCTCCAGTTTCTTCTGCCGGTCCAACTTCACCAACATTATCTTATTATGGTGGTTCCCGGACTACATTACGGTATAATCGTTCTGCGTACCAAGTTTCTGCAAACTTACCATCAGAGTCAGTCAATGATTTTCAGCAGCCATCACGACGTACTCTTGAATCTCGAGAACGTCGATCCCGTCGGTCTTCTGGTGGTTCTATCAGTTCTTTTTCAGGAACTCTACCCTCATCACCATCTCCACCACCTTTACCAACCCAAAATGAACATGAGTCGACGACGCAGAGTCCCCGCGTGCAATACAAGCGCGAGCATCGATTTCCTGCTCATCGCTATAGTATGTCTTCTGGTACAAGTCAACCTCGATAAGTCGGCCAAGGCGGGGCTGGTCTGGTGGCCGACTTTGTCGAGGATCAATATATAACAATGATGATTATTATAATAAATATTACATAATATAAAGGTATACAAAACTTGTAAAAAAGCTATCTATAGTGGTTTGTTTCTTGAATTGATTGTTACTTTCTTATCCTAATAACAAAGGAACTTCTAATTTCCTAATAACATGAGTTTTTTTGGTGTGAATTCATTAATAAATGTTGTGGGCAGCGAAATGCCTACCGAAAGTTCCCCGAGCCTTTAATTCTAGATGACTGAACGATATAGAATTTGCCAATTTTGATACAATGTATTTCCAGCCACGTATGCCGGATTAGTGTCCGAATTTAAGATATAACATGGAAAGAACGACTAATCTTTAAGTAATTTGTAGAGCTCTTCCAAATTCAGTTAAATTCCCTTTGGGATAACTTACACATCCTTGTAAGGTTTTTAAAGAAAGAATATCATCACCCGATCAGCGTAAAGTTGAAGCATGGACTGACTGAAAACCTTTTCCTTAGCCGGTAGTGTTTTCTGTCGTGGAACTTTGTGTTAAAGGAATAGGTGACAGTATAACATCTCGTATTCAGGCTAAATTCCTGCTTTCTCTAATTAAAAAGGGAAAGAGCTATAATTGCTGAGAGGTGACAATTCCCAACGTCAGCTAACCACAAATAAAACTTGAAAAGCCTGATATGGGAAAAAATGAATACTCTACTTCAAGCTCCTTTTGCTATAAAGATTATTGTGATGTGGGGGATGGATCACGATCATCCTCGAAGAATATATACTAATTCGATATGTGAGAACTTTTCGCCGAAAACATCAAAGCGATTGAACAGGTGATAAATGACTGCAATAGAATCGAGTCACTTCTCTCGATTATTCGCAGACTGTTTGAAGAATTCACAGTTCAACAATGATATGGCACCACATCTGATCTGGGCCAATCTCAAATAAAGTACGTGCAAGATACGCTCATTTTGCTCAAAGTTTATTGACGTCTATTCCCATTAGTCGACATAAGTACAAGTTTTTTCCTCTTTTGTTTTTTCCCAAAATAAACTTCCTCCTCTTGAAAATCGTAAAAAACATCGTCTTCCTCCGAACCACGTCCGCGGGTAACATCCGCGAACGAAACTGCGGGAGTACCCCAGACTGTTCTAGGACCATTGTACTCGACCCTAGGCGCAACTGAATTGCCGCGTTCAGAGCTTTCACTATCAGATATTTCGTCTCGTGTATTGTTCCTTTCCGAAGGCAATGGTTGAAAAGAGAAGTCATAATCTTCATTAAATTTACGCTCGCCCACAGTCTTTTTTTGTTGCTTTTGTTCAATACGAAACTTCTCTTTCCGGCGACGTTCACGCTGATCAAGTTCCTCTGGAATTACAGTTGACAGTTACTGTGAATCCCATAATCGATTTCAAGACAATAAGAAAGTAACTTACTCTTAAATGCCTGCAGCGTAGCCGTAGACACAATATCCGTTAGATCCGCTTCTATAAATGTCACATCACAGCTCAGAGGCAGATGGTTCAAGTATTTAAATCGTTTGCGCAGGTCCTTGAAACGTAGAGAGTAATTTAGAGACCATTTAAAAGTGAACGTTCAACTTGTTTCAAATTCATACCTCAGTCATTGTGCTCTCTTGAACCCCAACAACAGGTAATGTAATGGTATTAGGAAAGTTTTCGAAACTACCGAATTCATGTTTTAAAAGACGAATATCCAAGGGATGCAAATAGACATGCTGGCCATCACCCGCCTGGTAGAAATGATATACAGGATCACGTGTATTTCCAACGTTCGCCTTCGTGGCCGCAGGATTATCTGTAGGCTCATGTAGAGATTCTTGCGTGGCAATATGGGCATTTTCTCGGAATTCGTCTGGAAGATAAGCAGGAATATCGTCTTCCGAGACAGTGTTAGTCATCTGGATCCGAGAATTGGGGCTTTGCAAAGAATAGTTTCCATAATCTTCGTTCGAAAACGTTTCCTGAACTTTCCCCTGTTGAATAATAGTATTTAGCTCTCTATTTGGCACTAAAAATGTAGCAGGTAAGTATGACCATGACTTACTCCTGCTTTAGTACTACGCACAACAGATTTCATGTCATCCCAATAACCTAACCCTCCTTCTATTTCGAGTTCCTCGGCTACATTCTTTACTTTTGTCGACTCGGTTAAGCTGTGAGTACGCTTTTCAAGCTCAGTCGCACTAGCAAGAGTAGGTTTCTGGAGAAGGTCAAGCTGGTCCTGAATTTTTAAACAAAATTTAATAGTCGATATCAATAGTCTGACCTCCACATTGCTCTTTTAACATGGAGTACAAACCTGCACAGTTACGATAGCCATTTCGATGAAAGGAATCTCTTCTTGGTAATTCAAATGCCTGGCTTCCTCCAGTATTTCATCGAGTTCCCTAAGATCTCTATGATATTCTGTTTTCATATAGTCTGCAGAAGCAAGCATCATTTTTGCAAAAGCCAATGCATTAGGCGTAAAATGCCATGGGAGTGATTCTGTTGCACTGTCGTTTTCGCGAGACGACCAGGTCGAAGTTCTAGGCAATGCTATGGTCGAACTCTATAGATAAGATAGGTCAACACGTTAATTATGGGACTACGAAATTTGTAGTCTGTTTATATTCATGCGCTCACCATGGAACGATAAATCAGCCTCATAGTAATCGCACTCTCGGCCGGTTTGCTATTGCCAAGTCTTTTAAGATCTTCAACAATCCAAAATCTAACACTCTTCAGATCCCGAGCATATATGGCATCCCAGCAAATTGGACATTTCCGCCATTTCTTGTTGGGTTTCTCTTCATCGTCAATCAATTGTAAATAATGAATTATACAAGAAAGGCAGTAAGAGTGTCCGCATTTAGTAATTCGAGCTGCAGTGGGTTGCTGAAGACAAATCGGACAGCTCGGTATCATGGAAGTTGTAATAATCTGAATAACAAATTGCTTCCGTTATATTGGATAAACTGAACTATTCTCGTTTGCATTGTAAAATACTGAATACATACCACTTGTTCGATATCCGACCAATTCAATAAAATATCTAAAGATATGTTAATGAATACAATCAATTATTTTGTTAAATTGCTAGTTTCTAAATCTACAATTTGCACGTACCCGGGTCAACTTGATAGACAGTATAGTCACCCGTTGACTTCACTAAAAAACGAAAACTATAACGAAGTCGGTCAATCGATACATCCAACATTAACATAAACGTAAAATGTATAACGAAAAGGCTTGGACTCACTTGGCATTCACAAATCGTTCTTTGTTGTAAGGCTGATAGTTTGATGGTCGATGTCGCCGAGGCAACATAGCGGGCGTTTGTTGTCTTTCTGGAAAGGAAAACCGCAAAAGGTGATTTAAAGATATACGACCTTTTCTGTCTGGAACTCCATAGATCTATTGACATGATAAATATGTGTAAGCGCTCGCCGGAATAATGTGCTAGGAAAATACAGAACTTTACATACTGCAGGATCATCATTTGCTATGGTCAAATCAGACATGGCGGTTGCAACCTCTTGAACAGAGGAGGACGACACCGCATTGTCATCAGTTGATGGAACGTCATTAAGCTCATAATCGAACGAGCTATTCTTTTGTTTCTCGCGGGTAGTAGGAAAACTACGTTGATCGTAACGCGACGAACCGTTATTCTTGCGACGAGGGTTAGATCTCTTATTGCTATGATTTAAGCGAGCGACTAAGAATTCAAAACCGCATTAGTATTATGAAAGCGATTTATTTTCTTAACAACATACTACGCACCAGACTGGTCGCTTTGAAAGGAATCTCGTGAATTTCCCGATGTAAATTTCCTGTTTTCATGCGGGTGCGAGCTCCGTGATTGAGAGTAAGCGTGGCCGGGTGATCGTCGATCGCAGGATGAAGAAGTGGAAGCGCCAGCCCTCACAGTAGCATTCTGAGGAATGAAGGTGGGTGCGTTGGCGTTCATTTTTGCGATAATTAGTACTAACGCGAGAGTCGTGTGATTTTCTTGGGAAGAATAAAATTAAACAATTCCAATTGCGTGAAGCAATAATAGTAGCCAGTGATAATACGCGTAACGGTGAATACAATAGATAAGATATATATTGAGAGTAAATGTTATCGAATTTCTCTCGACTTTTCCTTGGTAAGGGAAAGAGTAAAAGTGCCAAATTGAAAATGAAATAGTATTGAAACAACCAGTTTCTTGAAGTTCTCTTGGAACCAGCAAAATAGAAAAATAATGGGAATATTATGCTCTCCATTTAGATGGCGAAAGACATAGTGAAATCCATACTGAGCATTAAAATATTAATAAATAAGTAGAATGTGATATAAATAATTAAAAGTTTGGTAGGTGAGATTATTATTAAAAAATCGTAGGTAAACTGCGAGAACCAAGAGAATATTATAGAACCAATACTAGCTTTTCCCTTATTTCTTTTTGGAGACTAGTATTGCTAGTGCTCGTAATTGTTATAAAATCGCAAACAGTACAAAGCAACTTAGCTCAAATTAAGGGGGACGTTATAACTGGTTCAGTAGGAAGCTGTGAAGGTATCTCAGACTAACAGGATGTATATTAGTCTCCGCGGTGTTGATAACGGCAGAGACTGAGGGTTTGCTATTGTGCGTGAGCGACCTGCTTTGGTGCAAAAGAACTCGAGCGAAGCAGAGAATTCGTCCATTTACGATACATTGGTTGGCGCAGGACATTTGAATCACGTGTCACAAACAACTTGCGGCCGTAATGACTCGTAAAGTTATTATTGTTCGCATCTCGAAAGCTACCTTCTTATAATAGATTTTTTACGTGGCTTCTTTTGAGCTTTGCGAGATGTCGTGAATGTTGCAGGAATTTGGTTTTTAAATCTAGTAGCATATTTTGCTGAAAAGATATGCGTAATTACTCAAAGTCCAATCACAAGTAGGGATTTGTTGGAATACATCCAAACAGCACTGAGGTGGTTCAAACATGTTACTCTTGGTAAGACGCATAACATGTTCATCTGGATTATCCAATAACGCGTCTTGTATAAATAGAGAAATTTTCTCCATGAACTGTCTCTAACCCCTGAATTATATCGGCTCGTAAAAGCATTTTGGCAGTTTCAAACCACTCTCAACAAGTCATTGAGATCCATAAAACCCGCTATCTGAAACATTGCATTGATATGCTACCTAACGCTTGCATCAGAACGTCTACGCTGTGTCACTCCTCTATTGAGTGTGTAAAGATAGTGAAAACTATTACCAGTCTCGTCAACAATCGATCCCCAGACCGGTTTTGAGATGATCATTAACAATACTTACAGGCTATGAATATGAATAGCATAAAGAAAGTATTACATCAGTTGAAGGTCCCTTTGAATAGTATATTATTTGTAAAAATGCTATATTCACAATACAATAAATCGCCATCTACGTTAATTCGGACGATAATATGGAAATGGCCTGCTTCACAATAAGTATATTCTTTTTTATATAGATTTTTATGATATATATTCGGCATTCTAAAATCAACGTCATGCGTAATACAGAACCATCGCGCTAGAGAAGAAAAAAAGGGTTTCTTTCCTATATTTACATAAAACAACTCATTGGGAACTAAAGTCTTGTAGAAATAGCAGCAATTGTATTCAAAAATCTGCATCAATTCACTGTAAACAACAACGGCGAATCTTAATCTAGATTATTGTCTTTACTATTTTATTGAAGTGTGAAATGATTCTAGTATATTTGCACAATGATTCTCATTCACTTTAGTTTAAAAGCATTTTCATTGAATGTGAAGGATTTAGTCCATCATGTTCCTATTGTAATTATAATTGTTATTATTGACACTCTGCTGTATTTTCTATATTAATGTAAATTAATTATTGGCAAGCAATTTATCGATAAATATTTAGACATTGCTTTTTTAATATACTCTTTGTATGTATGCTTGATCATACTATTATTATGTATTAGTATGTATTCGAAAACTGAATTTATGATCACGTGAATTCATGAGGAGGTGAATCTTGTGTGACGGTGATTTAACTACTATTACTATTACTATTACTATTACTACGAGTTATTACTATTAATTACTATGAGGTGCAATCTTTAAACGTTTGCAGATCCCTCTTATTAGCATTTTTGCTTGATTGCATGAGACTTGGGCGACCACTGCGTTAGAATTTAACCATAGTAGCGAAAATAGAGCATCTTCAACACTACCTCTCGGATGTCCGATTATCACGTGAGTGATTTCTTCATAATCACCCGTTGTTGCTTACAAAAATTTCATCATCACAGGAACATAGTCTAAACTTCTTATTGAGGCGTTTATTCTTTTCAACCTTAATGCCGCTTGTACTTAATTGTTTATTCCACTCTACAAATATTCACAAGAATACTCGACACTCCTCTGAGCTAAAATCTTTTTGACTAAAATCCACCTTTCCCTTGTACATATTCCGTTTTATTTACTGTAATTTACTCTTCAGTTTACAGACCTTTGTAACTCGAATTCGTTGTATTCGCCAACTCCTTCTTATAAATACACACCACAAGAAGAAACTACTAAAATTCCAACAACTGCATTTGACACGTTCACGAAAACGAATAACTGCACATATCTTTCACTAGAGGTCCTCTTGTAACAGAAAGGCAACTATTTGAATTGATAAGAATTGGAGAATACTCGTTTATTTCATGTTTGTCTTCAAGTAGACTATCATTCCCTCTCGCGAATAACATCCGTTGTCAGATAATCAAAACGCAGCAAACGGGCTGAATTCCGACAATATTAAAATTTCCAATATAATGTCTCGTGAGGAATTAATTGAACCAGAATCACAGACCTCGTCTTCGCCAAATGAACAACGAGATAACTCCATGGCAATAACGGCAGCTAGAAAAGCCACAACCCTACCTCAAACTTCTCAACAAGTAACGTCAAGCACAAACGCAAATTCAAGTCAGGAAGCAAGAACTCTTATGAATATAAAACAAAGCCAAGATAAAGACATTACTAATAGTTCTACTCAAAATGACAAAGACATTAGCAAATTAAGTAATGGCACGCCTCCATATGCTTCTGCAGAAGACAACAGCAGTGTTACGAGCACAGACGCCAATTGTACGTCTACAATGAATTCCGATGATGCGACACAAGATAGCACATCCACAAAAATTAGAAGATTAAGTGGTTCACAAAATCAACGATCTACCAAATCATTCCCGCGCAACAATCCTCAACGCCAATTCCCGTATACCAGCGGCAATAATTGTAATCCAATCCACGCCGTTACTTCCGTCTACCCAAATGGTATCGGCACGACACCAATGTACGAGGATATGTCTCATGGCCTGTATCATAATCCCGCGTTCATGCCAGTTGCGTCGCCTTACTTTACTCCTCAATTCTTTCCTTCCAACGGACAATATTTCTATGATCCTCAGTATAGCAGGTTTCCGCGACCCCCACAAACTCCGCCAACTTACGTCCGCTCAAATGTATACTCATACCCGGCCATGCCTATCATCCCAACATTACATCTTCAACAGTTTCAAAATCCCCCACCATTTTTGTTTCATCAACAACCAGCTAGATATCATTCTGTTCATAGTGCTGCTGGCGGTGATTCAGGATTTTCTTCGCGAAGAAGTTCCTTAGATCCAAATAGAACGCCCGAATTCGGCCCACAGCATTCGCAGAGAATGCAACAGAAAAAACCGAAACAATTGGATAAAGCATTATGGGTTGGCAATTTGCCAGACACGACTACGCAGGAAGAGCTGAAAGAATTTTTTGCAGATGAAAACATGGAGGTATAATATTACTGCTTAGAGTATAGATGTAAATGCGGTCGGTTATGATGGGTGTTAGTGTTAAGTGTTGTGTTTGTCCGTCATGATCCCCCTCACACACACACAAAATGCAATTAGAGCGTGTTCCTGATCAAAAAGTCTAACTGTGCTTTTGTGAACTATAAAACGCACGAAGCAGTTGATGAAGCGGTGCAAAAGTATAACGAATGCGGTAATTAATTTGTTTCTTCTACCAACATTCACTTAAATGTTCCGATATGAAATGGTTCTGATTTATTGTTATGATTATTTTGTAGAATTCAAAGGCATAAAACTAGTCTGCCGACCTAGAAAGGTATGAAGATCGCAGTACGTGTTCTAATAAAGATATTACATTACTTGACCACCTCTATACCATAGCAAACGGCTGCTGACATAAAGGCCAAGACAAATCCACAGATCAGCACGTCATCGGAAAATACTCTATCGCGCACGCCATCCGAAACTGCGTCGACAACATCCTCTTCCGCTCGATCACAACATTCTTCCTTCCCTCTGCGTCAAAACTTCAGACAATCATCTATCGCGTCTATGTCCCCCGCTTCCTCAGTATCTTCAACTAAACAACAGTCACCAAACCGATATTTCATTCTCAAGTCATTAACTCAGGATGATTTGGACATATCTGTGCAAAGTGGCGTATGGGCTACACAACCACATAATGAAGCAGCGTTGAATAAAGCTTATAAGGTTGAGGTTTCGTTTTTGTATTCTATTATTTTTAGTTCTCAGCCACTAATGTTTATAGTCGTTTATCCCAGACTGCAGAGAATGTGTTTCTGATTTTTAGTGCAAACAAAAGTGGAGAGTTTTATGGCTATGCCAGGTAAATCATTACAGTAGATTCCTGTTAGCCTGCAGCATAATAACGTGATTGTCTATACCGTAGAATGGCAAGTCATATCAATAAAGAAGCTACTGAGTCTATTCAATGGACGCCCATCGATGAAGCAGCACTAGCAGCCTCCTCTTCGCGACCGTCACCAGTGCCGGATGAATCCAAGACAAGAATAAAAGTCAAGAATGATGCAGATAATGAGGAAGAAGAAGAAGATGTTACGCCAAGTCGGAGTTGGGGTACAGCTTTCAAAGTAGAATGGATAAAAGTGTAAATTTCAGTATATAAATATATCAATATTTTCTATCCATTAAATCTGCACCTTGTTGATAAATCACTACTTTGAATTTGAATTCTAGTCAGAAGTTACCGTTTACACGTACAAGACATCTTCGTAATCCATGGAATGCCAACAGGGAAGTAAAGATCAGTCGAGACGGTACAGAAGTTGAGCCTGTTGTCGGTGAGAGATTGCTTGCCGAGTTCCATAGGGTGCCCGTCACGACTCCTGCTCAAACGTCTTATGGAGCGTTACCTGGACCATTGTTGGCTCAGCCGTTGAATATCGATAACCAGCACATCGAAAACTGTCAAGAGAGGTAATTCTCATGTCTTTCTATTACATTGATGCATTATTGTCTGCTTACTAACACTAAATTAATTACAGGAAGTCTACAGCTCAATCTGGAGCCATTACTCCAATACAACCTCCAATACCCTCAATGATGGACCCTAGTTTCATACAAACGCCACAGGGAGCTTTCTTTGCTCCCACATATTGGCCTCCGCAACCAATTTTGGTACCGCCTTATGCCACCGGACCTGCACCTGCTACTTATCTTACCACTGCGCAGTCCGGCTGGTCTACAACTGCAAACAAAGATCCTTCGAGTACAATGAATCGAGCGCAACCACCTGCTCCTACAACCGTTGTTGGAAACGCTGCAGTAATGACTCCTATTATGCCAATCGAGCAGCAATACGTTGAGGTGAATTTTAATGACAGTATTATATATCAATTATTTCTAGCATACGTATCCGTAATCTTGTATGATCTTAACTTTTATATTAATGAATATTATTTGAATTAGACATCAACGGCACCAAATCACACAACTCATTATAATAACAACAATCCTTCTCATCTTCAATCAACGCCTGCTACCTGTTCCCCATTTCAACAGTCCAGTGCGTCTCCAGTGCACTATTATAGGTCTGTTGACGATTCTACAGTTGAATCATCGTCATATCAAACACAACGACAGTCTTTAGATGATAACGAGGTTTTCGATGATAATCTGAAGATGGAAGCCATTAGCAGTAGTGTTTAAGCGCGCCGACAATCCATAAGTCAATTTGGTTTGCATATTAGAGTTTTCTTCACAACCATCCGGATTAGTTGTGGAGTTGTGTATTTCACACTTTCGGTGTTACGTTTTCTCCGATGCCCGGACTGATTTCTCTATATTTGGTGGTTTATTTATTGGACACACATTTAATGATTTTCCTGAGGCGAGAGTTTTAATTTAATATGTTTCGTACATATATGGTTGAAGTAAAACGAGATCAGTTTGGATTCGGCATTCGATTATTAGCAACAAACTGATAACAAATCTCTTCGTTGTATCTTGTTATATACGGTTCTGCTTAGAATAAGAAGGAATTGATTTTTGAATTCGTCCTTTACGTTCTGCCAGCTCTCAATCAAAATAACAAGATACGAATACCTTTGATTCGGATCTAATGAGTTTTATGGTCTAACTTCATTGGGATCTTTGGTTTTCTTTTGCTGGTCTTGTTACATATAATAATAATCCAGTTGTGTGATGACTGAGTATAGATGAAGCAATGAATTAGTTGGTCTCAATAAAAAAGGAATAGGTGTCGTCATCGGCCAATAATTTTGGTTATCGTTATTATTATTGTTAATAATTATGAAAGATGAATAATATGGTCCTTAGCGACATATATTTTGTTCCTATACTGATACACTTTTGATTATTGTAACTTAAGGAGAGTTGACAAAAAATAATATTGGAGCGAGATGTAGTGGAATAAATTAATGTCGAAGGATGATGGAAGTTGGACCTTAATAATGACATCGCTAAATTAACGTTGGTGAGTTCCAGTAGTAAGAGATAGGCGAAGTTAAAATAAATGGAGCGTACTAGACACCGCCGTCGGCAAGCGTAGTCCGTGGTGGCTTTTGGAAACTAATAGTGAAGACATTAGCATGTATCTTTCATCTATTAAAATTACGTCCTTGTGTCGTCTTTGTGAATTCGTCTCCATAATCGAATTCTAGGTTCGAACTATGTAGAAAGAGACTTGCTCCATCTCAAATAATCTTGTGCATGTCTATCATCTTAAGTTTGGCTAATATGTGCTTCCAAATACTAATTTATAAAATATTCAGCTGTCTTCCTCTATCGGAGCGAGGAAAAGAATACTTCAATTGCGTGTCTGTGCTATTACAACAAGAATTCCATGAAAAATTGAACCCTTCCATCTTCCATTCTTAATTCTCTGATGAGAATTTAGGGACCAGATTTGTTGTATTAACGACGCGAGCTAACAGCGGACCCAAAGAAGGCTTCTCAGAGCTAAGAACATCAGGTTCTCACTCTTTAACAGCAAATGAGTGAACTTTAAATGCGTAATACTGTCGTAGTCATATTGTAAACAATGCTTTATGGTATCCTTTCTGATTTTGTGTCCTTTATTAAGCATATGGTATCCTTTCTGAATGAACCATCAAATTATTATTTCTTGAATATTCCCTGTCATATTGATTCGTCAAAAAACTTATCAATTACCGGTGTTCCTCTTGTTCAATCTTTTCGATCTCTCTTTTCCGAAGTATGTCCGTTATCTAAATTAAATGAGCGGATCAAAGGAAGGAGGCAAGTTTAAGTTGCTTAATTGTAGGTTTGTTTAATGCTGGTCATATTCGTTTTAGCTGCCAGAAAAGTAATTTTAACATGACGATCAATACTTTATTAAGATAATTTTGACCTTAACGTAATATTAATCCCCACTTTTTTTGCGTATTAGTATCTCGTAAACGTGACCATACAAAATTTTTGCAAAAAATTTAAGATGATGTCACCAACAAGATCATTTTCTCCCTCTCCCCAGCTCTTCTGTGAAATTATTCATAGAGCTCATTCAACATGGGTAAGGATGAATGAAATGTTCTTGCGCAGCAATACATGTTGTATTGTTTGAATTAACGAGTGACTGACTCTAATTCCATTTGGGTTTTATTCGGACTGTCGCGGGGGCCGTAATTAGCCGTTGGCAAGGTTTGTATCAGATTACAAACTTTCTTCGAAGCATCCATCAGTTTCTATCATTCTATTTAGTGATATAATAACTAAGAGTGTAATATTTTAGAATAAACGTCTTAGTAAAGGAAAGAAGGGATTAAAAAAGAAGATGTAAGTTGATTCAGTAAGGTTATGCTGCGTGAGGAAATGTATATGGAATGGGGTGAGCGTGTCGTCATATACTCCATAATCAATGCGTTTCGTGAATAGTTTGTGCTGATCAGAGTACTTGCTTGAGCAAGTGAACGATATATAGTAACATTATTTAATACGAATATACCGGCATTTGATTTTGTTTTTGGCAAAACACAGAGTTGATCCCTTTACCAGAAAAGACTGGTATGATGTCAAAGCGCCTTCGCTTTTTAAACAAAGAAACGTAGGAAAAACTCTTGTTAACCGTACGCAAGGTCTAAGTATGTAATCGTTTAATCGGTATTATAATATTGATTCGTTATTTGTGTCAAGAATAATAAATGATAGAATTGATGTTCCGACACTAACATTAACGGTTTATTGCCTAAAAATTAGAAAACGCCAACGATGCCTTAAAAGGCCGTGTGTTCGAGATATCTTTGGCGGACCTGAACAATGATGGTGAACATAGCGATGATCGTCATGACCAGGCCTTCCGTAAGATCAAGCTCAGAGTAGATGAAGTTCAGGGCAAGAACCTCCTCACCAACTTCCATGGTATGGATTTCACATCTGACAAACTTCGGTCTTTGGTAAAAAAATGGCAGGTTTGTAACAATAAATAGGCGACCGTAGCGACTACTTTATGTCAATATCGAGCCGTGTGCTTACATGGATGCATATTAGCTTGAAGACCAGAATATCATGACTGTTTTCGCTTTAACTTTAATAATGATTTTCATTCCAACAGACTCTCATTGAAGCTCACGTCGATGTCAAGACAACCGATGGCTATCTTCTACGTCTATTTGCAATTGCATTCACCAAGAGACGTCAAAATCAAGTACGAAAGACTACGTATGCTCAGACATCTCAGATTCGTCAAATTCGAAAGAAAATGTTTGAGAGCATGACAAAAGTAGTATCGCAAAATGAATTGAAGGTATTAGTTAGTAAACATCTGTTGACCGACGCTATCGGTAATAATATTGAGAAGGCTTGTCAGGGAATTTATCCTTTACAAAACGTATGTTACAAGATCTGTCAGATAGGACCCTGACAGTATTTCTGTTAGGAAAGGGAGGAATGTTAAAGATAAAGGGTTTGCGTATCTTGCTATGTTCTAATACAGTCTCCATGCTAACACTTATCTATTACATTACCTAGGTATATATCCGCAAGGTAAAAATTCTAAAGAGCCCCAAGTTCGATATACAAAAGTTGCTTGAACTTCACAGCGATGCGGCCGATACAGGTTCTAAAGTGGGGGGTGCAAATAGAGACTTCAAAGAACCAGAGGTCTTACAGTCTGTGTAAATTGCGCCCAAATATAATAATCTACAAACAAAAAATTTTGTTCCACAATTTGACACGCTGAAGTAGAAATAGCTGCCGACCTTATTAATGGGGAGATATATATTTGACCGTTCATGTGTAGTAATAGCGACTAGGTCGAAAAAAGAATTACATAGCAGTGGATAACCAGAGAAACAAGATATATGTCTTTTGTGCAGAGCGTTTTACCAGCAAATTGATATAAATTCACCAAGTTTATAAATTACATAATCTAGCCAGAGTCTCAACACTTACTCTTATAGTAATAGGAAATATTCTTTGTCTGCCTATTCGTCAATTGATGCTATTAAGGGCAAAACCAAAAAAATGATGCAATCTTTGTGAAGTTATCTATGTTAGCATGTATATATACGACGACGAAAAAAGCCGTCTTATCGATAGCGAGGGTTTTGAGCATCCGCTGGCCATTTCAAAGCTACCTGAAAAACGAATTTTTGAACAATTTTCCGATTGGATATATATTAAATATTCAGAACCATTCTGATTCTTTGCATATTCAATAAGATACAGTTTATGAAATATTATGTCCTCACAGCATGCTTCAATAGCCAACGAGAATAATTACGAAGAGATAGGAAACACGCGTGAAGAAATAACAAAGACACTTGAGTTGAATAGAGCTTATCAGGCGGAGTTAAGCAAGTGCATTCAGAACATTGAAGCCGCACTGAACCATAACCGAACGATACAGGTTAGTCGCGTTTGATTTGTATTGTGTAGCCAAGGCATTTTAAACTCATGTTAAGCTTGCTATAGGAACGCTTGGATATAATCAAACAGACTCAAGAGAGATCGGATAAAGAAAGGGCTGAAGCAAGATCTGATAGCACGAGATGCTGGGGTCCACCCTTCTTTGTGAATGAACATGGACAGGTCAGTACGCGACGATTTGTCGAATTTGTTGAGGAACAGTTTGCTTAAAGACTTATTTTATTAGGGGCCGCCTGAACTCGAAGACAGTAACTGTAACACTGTTCGTCCGCCAGTTTTACATAAATACCAACGATGTAAGTAAACAGAATGATGTTTCTCTTATACAGTCGTAGATGTTATTCATTCGAAATATTAATACTTGGGCTTAATGCTCACCCGTAATAACAATGATGCTGTAGGGAATAGCAATGAGCGAGCTGCATTAACAAAGGGAATTAAATTTATCAATATGAAAAAAGAAGCATCCAAGATTCTTGCTCAGTAAGTCATATATATTGAGATCTTGTTCATTTATGCGTACAAATATATTAAAGGTTCTGCCAATTTTTGGTAGGGGCGGCAAGATGAAAGACTTACAAAGGCTGTCCAATGCATATTTGCTAGAAAACGTCCGTGGAGTTGATTGGCGTTTCATTGCTAAGCATTTTGTAAAAATCTCCTTTTTCCCGTTTATTTGTTTTATCCGTTTTATTCTGTCTCATGTTACAATCTTAATATCAATCTTTAAATCCTACCTCAGGTACAAACGAAGACCGCTTCGGAATGTCTGATGCAATGGACCAATCATGACCATCCACGGATAAACAAAAGTTCTTGGACAAAACCAGAAATAGCAAAATTACGCGCTATTGCCCAGAGGCACAAGTTTCGTAATTGGCAGGCAATTGCACTCGAAGTGGCGGTAAGCAAAATGTCGAGTCGTGATTTGTTTAGATCATACTGCTTTCCATCTGTTAGAATGAATAATTTCGTCAATATGCTGATTGCCCATCTATCTTTATAATCGTTTATGTGGCAGACTAACAGAACGGCTGCAGAATGCTTTAAAACTTATGTTAGACAAAACAGCGAACCAAGGTAATCGTTTATTTGATTAATGACTCTCATCTTGTTCGAACATAACGTAGTTAAAATATTATTAAAAATCCAAGAAAATGGACGAAAGAAGAAGATGAGATATTAATACAAGCTGTCGACTTATACGGAGAGAAAAACTGGCAGCAAGGTAAATAGTCTTGTTGATAATTTGATCCTGGTATAATTTCATTTTATTTGCGAAGCATTCTAACGTTCGTGATAATATTACTATCAAGTTGCTTCCTGTCTTGAAGACAGAAGTGGTCAACAGTGTCTACACAGATGGACGAAAACGCTAAATCCAGCAATAAAACGTGGCCGGTGGACGCGTGCTGAGGATGAGGTTTAAACCTAACGACTTATGTTCAAATTCAGTAGTTGGACTACTAACTGATCTCTATATTCTACGTCACGTACGCATTCAACGCGGGCGTTGTTTTGTTTTTAGGCATTGAAAGATGCCGTTAAGCTGTACGGTGCAGGCAATTGGGTTAAGATACAGTCTTACGTACTCGGTCGAACTGATGTAAAGTGTCGAGAACGATGGGTTAACGTTCTCGATCCGGCCGTTAAAAAGGATCCTTGGACAGCAGAGGTAAACCATACAATACCTGAAAAAATTGAATCCTACTTATTTACGTTATTGAAACACTAATTCTATGTGCATTCGTGATACACAGGAAGACAAACTATTACTCTCACTGGTCCGAAAGCATAATCCTGGTAATTGGTCAAAAATTTCTGCGGAAATGGATCGACGTACTGATAATCAGGTATTTGCAATTGTTTATGTGCTGTGTAGAGTGAGCATCTTGTGAAGAGACAAGATTTAAATGTTTTTACAACTGTATAGTGTTGGAGAAGATATAAATGTCTCTTGAAAAAGACGAAGCAGGGAGAAATTATTTCCTTAACCTCAGAGTCTGAGGACGAAAATCGAAACACAAGCCCAGATATTAATGCGAATAACAGTCCTAATGAGGATACAACGACTACAGCTAAGGACGTAGTGATACCAAATATCGCAAGTCGATATCCAAAAATAGCTCCCGCTCCTATCCCGAGGACTGCAGAATATAAAATACCAGTTACGTCTATAGAAAAAAAATAGAATACGTAAAGTAGCAAATACAGTCATGGTCAAAAGTAATTGCGATTTTGTATTTTGTTAGTAACGCCCGATTTGTACGTTAATTTATTATACCAAATTGGACGGTAAACAATAAATACGAGCTTAAAACTTGTTTTCGTGTTCAATTTACTTTCTCAATGGCACCCACATCTATTGAAACCAGCCGCGAAATCGTAAAGTTTTCTTGACAAAAGAATGTTCGTAATGCAAGAGAAATCTCCAGAAGAACTGGTATTCCTTTGCGTTCTTGTGAACTTTATGCAAAATTCCTGATATTCATCGACCTGCCCACCCGCGAAAATTGTCTTCCAAAAAACGTCGCCAAAATCGGAATGACTGTTAAGTACGATCACTTCACAACAGCTAAAGAATTGATTATCCAAGGTTGGAAGTGAGTGAACGAACCGTTTGCCGTGACCTTAATAGACTTCGAAAATTGCTTAAGTTTGTCACGTGAACATTTGAATTAAAGTCTTATTACTGTATTACTATGTACTGTACAAGATTCCTTTTTTATTGCATCGCCTAACCAAATGAGGTAATAATCGACTAATCTCGCGCAAATAATAATAATAATATAAAACGTGATTAAAATTGTATTGTGGGATATCTGAGTGAGATACAACTGAGGTGGATTAGTAGAATAAGGAAAATTCGTCCCAAACGATGATGGTATCTTTAGCAGTCCCAATGTATCGTCATACAAAGTATTCACAATGAAGTAAGATTTAGCTGTATCATCACATGATGTAAGTTTAGAACGATTTATCGTCAATAGGCAACGCAAATGATATATATAAATCCGGATTCCACTCTCTGGATGTGTATCATCATGCAGTGACAAACCAATTACAAAAAAAAATGGTTAAATTATATTGTAACGTCATTCGGAACTCACAAAAGCCTATTACAAAAGCTGCTCCAATTAAGTAGCTTAACGATAAGTAAGTAACTGTATTCATATATGACATGATTACTACAGCCTTATACAAAAGTTAGACGAGGATGACTTTGCTTTCCAGATGTATAATCATCGATCTCTCATATATTCAATTCTTTCAACGCCATCATTGATAAATCATCGATAGCATTGATAACGTCCCAATTAATTTTTCCGCAATCTTTATAGCTCACTTCCAACACTGCTCTAGCGCTTGCTGACAATTTTACCGCCTCCTCTACAGCCGTTCTGCCACCGCTCGTACTGTTCCAAAAACACTTGGCCATTGTATACAGATGCAACCCAATCATAGGATGATATTTAGGATAGCATAGTATGTATATGGCTAGTATACGGTATCCAATTCCTGCCGCAATGTCCCACAGTTCGTTTCTAAGTAGATCAGACAGGTGTTGACTTAGTAAGGTAAGCGGAGTATGTGGTTGAGAGAGTAACGATGGGAGCAGAGTTGGTGGGATGGAAGTAGGAATGGTGAATAAAGAAGGAAGTAGAGGAGAGAGAAGCGTCCGTTGACGAGTAGACAGTTCTAGCAGAAGTGTGGTAGGCATAGTCGATGATGCTGGCACCAGCAAGTGATCTACATCTTTAAACGTCATCAACGGAACGTTGTCATTACATCTAATACACTCGCAGTCAAAGTAGTATTTAGCAGTAAGCAACTGTTGTCTTGTTGTTTTTGTATTTGCAGTATCAATATATGATATCATAACCTCGTCGTTACTGCTGATATCTTCAATCGCTTTTATGACTTGAACGTTTCCATGGTACATTACAACTGCATTTGGATAGCAAGAATGATTGAATAGAGATCCAACTGGATAAGTTCCTTCTCCAACAGGAAATATCTGATTATCATGCACTGTGAAATTATTGCACCCAAATATGCAGAGAAAGCTTACAAGATTATTAGTTGTAAAATTGTTCTTATTGAAGTTCTTAATCGATGATAGCTCATTGAGAATTGCTGTAGCGACATGATTAAAGTATTCAAGCATGTCCTGGCTATAATCGTTCTTATGATCCATGAGCCCACCAAATGTTTCATATAGGACATCATAATCCGTCAGGTACTCTTTTTTGGCTATTCCACCAATGACTAGACAGACTCTCCGCAACATCTCGTAATCTCCATTCGTGTTATTTGTAATTATTCCATCGCACAACCATTTGTGATGTAAATTCCATGCTTTTCGCTGACATCGAACACTGCAATAAAGCGCCGATTTACATCGAGAGCATCGCATCAAGCTGTGAGAAGAGGAAACTTGTGAATTGAAACAATGATTACAGATAGAATCGGCAACAGAAGATGTCGGAAATGAACACAGAGGAGGAGATTCTATTATTACACTTCCTTTAGATATCGGAGAACGAGTTACAACGGCTCGATAAGATGATTGTCTGGGTATCAATGCAAGGTTATGCGCCGCAAGATAACTGTCAAGTGCCATTGCCTTTGGAGTAAACACCGGATACTATCGGTGGCTGTTGGGGTAACAGTATAGTTAAAAAAATTTTTTTTCTTTTTTTAACTAATCATAGATCGGTGCACCATTTTTATTCACAGACACTAACACCACTACAGTTGCAAGAGTTCAACTCGACGTTGAATTTTACAATGCAGGCGATCACGAAACAGTTCTCATAACAAATTAGAAGGCACATGATTACAAAAAAGATTAGCATTATGTAAAGAAACAAAAAACTGAAGCATACACTCACTGGACAAAAGTCTACGTAATTTTTGCCGATCATCGATCCAAACGATTGTACAATCAAACTTTGAGAG